AGGGCCTCCTAGTGGTTTAAATGAAGAAAGCTATCCTTTGTTAAGAAGTTAGCTTAATACAAATGAAATAACAATGTTACTTCATCCTGAAAAATGTTCCTATTACCATTTTAATTTTTCTTAAATTGCATATTATATGACCTGTGGAGCTTGAGCTGGAATTTTCAAATTTCAACATGTAAAAATAAAGAAACAATTAAAAGTACCTGACATGATGTTTGTTCTGTTAGCTCAAGACGATTCAATTTAGGACTTCCTGGCTTTGAAACAGTTTTGTTAAGCATAGATTTCTGTTTTTCATTTACTTTGCCTGTAAACGAAATGCAAGTTTTAAACACAACTTTACCTATATAAGCAAGCTGAATTAAAGACATTACTTCATTTCTGTTTACTTTATTTGCATATATACATATGTCAACCCACAGATTTGAAAAGCCAATCAGCGTGCTAGACATCTCCATTCCTACAACTGCTTGTTATTAACTTTTCCTTTCATCTAAGATATTAATAACATTTGGAGAAAACAGCAATAACCAGGAAAGAAGTGTTGCTGTAAGGAGAAAACATAATATTCAGTGAACTTTGGTTACTGATAGTTTTTTTTAGTATCATGAAATTGCTTCTGCAGATGGACCTAAGCAAATGCAGAAAGCATTAGCAGTCTTCAGGAAAAAAGGTGAAAGAGGCATCATTTAAAAATAGCATCTGAGTTATCTCCAAAGACAAGAGCTGAGTAAAAGCTATGGCACAATAATGCTTTAATGGTCTCCCAAGGAAAAATTAAAATTATACCTTGCCCTACATATCTTGGATTTAGGTAACTATGATAATTCAAACTTAAGATGACCCCTTGAGTAATTAGATTCTATACAAGGAGAAAGTATAAATCTGTTATAATTTTCCATGCATATAATCTATTTCTGATGGGATGGTTTAGTTGGGGATGATCCTGCCTTAAGCAGGGGCTAGACTAGAAGACCATATGCGGTTTCTTTCAGCTTTACTTTCCTATGGTTACTACTAGAGTGGAGAGATGAAGATAAATTTCTCTTTTAAGAAACAGGTACAATTTCCAAATCAGCAACATTATTTTTCTTTCAAATTAAGTAATTTATGCTTACACCTATGTTTTAGTTTGATTTTCATCATCTCTACAAACACGAAATCATCTCCTCCCTCACCTTTATTACAGTGGTGCTTTTCTTCTTCTGTTAGATCAATCACGGAGACTTTGGGGGTTTTTTCCGCAATCTGTAAAAAGAGCGTCAATTCCAATTAAATTGTTTCTACAATGGTAGAATCTTAAATTCTAGCATAAATGCTTCTATTAAAGTTCAGGAATGAAAGTGTGTTTGGTAGCTTATATTTTTTAAACAAAAATGTTCTCATGCAAGTGAAAGACAGTAGAACTAACCACTATGCATCTGTAGAAACTCTGGCAATTAGAAACATACTGCATAGACCTTAACAGATAACCAAAACAGTCAACCAAGTAACAACACCATCTATATAGATATATCTATATGTTAAGGTCTATGCAATATGTTTCTAACTGCCAGAGTTTCTATATATCTATAGATATATCTATAATCAATCTATCTAGATATCCCAACACAAAAAACTCTTGCCTCTGTACAGAGATGTGAGTGGAAAATTTTCCAGTGCTTTATTTTTCTGTGGGAAATTTTCCATTTCTAAAAATTCATTGTTTCATAAAATTCATTAGTATCAATGAACGGATGCCAATACAATATTAGGCAAGCTTGGCAGTTTCAAAATTGTAATTAATGCTTTTCAGGTGATTATCCCTATGAAGTGTGAGAGAAAGTACCATGTATGTTTTATTGATTTGTAAACAGGAAGGTAAAATCACTCACATAATAATCTAAACCAAAAATCAAGTTATGAATTCACTTAATTGGCTATGCAGGTCAAATCAGAACCAAAGCTAAAATTCTTATTTCATCTCAGGCTACAAGTGAAAGCAAAACCAAAACTAAAACTGTGATTAATTTTTGTTTCACTTTCAGTTCAGCAAACACGCAGAGCAGTGTCTCATTTCTTTTCTGGAGTTGGGGAAGTTGGAAGTGTTTGCATAAGATCTGTTAGTTTTTTAGTGCTTTTGGTTTCAAGTAGTCATTATAATGCCTACTCAAAAAAAACAACTAGTGTGTGGCATCATTATAGTGAAGTTCAAGCCACTGAAGGAAGGAAGTTGGTAGATGTAAATATGGCAGGCAGTAGTATGCTAACAACACAACAAGAATGAAGAAACATTTAACAACATGTAGAAACTGTCCTGAAAGAGTACAAGCCATATACAGAAAGCGAATACAACAAAGTGGTGGAACAACATCATCTGAGAAAAGTCTACTTCAGGAATCCTATGCAAGTAAACAAAGTAATATGTTAAACAACAGACAGTACACACTAGCATTCTGTATTGTTTTAAAACATAATTTTAAAAGCTGTTAATGCAACTCTGGACTATTATTTATTTAAAATATTTGTATCCTGCTTTTCTGCTTGCACTAAGCACCCAGTGGCTTAGGCTTAACAATAATTATTTTTAAAATTACAGAATAGATAAATAATTAACTATTTCAACCCAGAGGAGTGAGCTTAGTCCTCTGGCCAATGGCAGAGGCCAGACTACACTTCCCTTTGGGTCCGCAGTCCCAGGGCAACTGAGCAGCATGTTGAGCTGCAGTGTTCTTTCTGGCAAGCTCACTGCCACTTCTTCTGATGGATGAGGCCAGACTAGAATAGGCTAAAATAAAGATCTTTTCCCCTTTTTGTTGCAGGAACTTGGTAGCTCAAGTGAAATAGCAGATTTGCAAAAAATGGAATATGAAAATGTTGAGTTGCCAGGTCTGGGGGAAGCAGCAGCAGGATCCTCACTTTCAAGATCACTGTCACCCGATATACGATCCACCACAAGTAGCTGTTTGAGACACTTTTTAACAAGCTTTGTGGACAAAATGTCAAAAGAAGATCAAGAAAAAGCAGGAGACATTAGCTCAAGCTATATTTTCAAGTTGTACACCTCTTTCCATAACTGAAAATCAATACTGGAAGGAACATTACGAAGTAATTTGCCCATCATATAAGTTACCGTCATGTTATTGCTTATCACATTCTCTCTTAGATACAGAGTATGACAGAGTTCAAACAATGGTTACTCAAAGGTTTAGTCAAGCAGAATCATCGACTCTGATGTCAGATGGATGGACTGATATATACAAGGAAATCCTTTACTGCACATTACATTAGCAACACCTGAACCAGTATTTCTGAAAGCAATTGCTATAAAATTTTCTCATGATACAGATGAATACAAAGCCAAATTACTGAGTGAAGAGAGTGAAAGTGCAGGCCCTCCACGGTACAAGCCCTTGTAACTGATCATGAGAGTAACATGAAAGCTGTATGGCAAATATTAAAGGCAAAGTATCCTCATTTAACACTATTTGGCTGTCTTCCTCATGGGTTGAATCTTCTGGCAAGTAAATGTGAATACAGGTAAGTTTGTATTCACATATCAGCAAACTGCAAAGCGATTGTGAAGGTATTCAACACTCATCATGTTGCTAATCAGACTTTGAAGAAATTACAGAAAGAGAAGCAGGGGAAGAAAAGTGCACTTTTATTGCCAGGAGAAACTAGATGGGGCTTGCTACAAAGTGTTCACATAGTTTGCTGTGCACAAAGAACTATTTGCACTGTGCTTCAATAGATGACACAATATCCCAGAATATTTCCATGAACATTCGGAAGCAGATTCTTGACAACGATGTGGTCTTGGTTCGAGTTCACGGAGCATTCAATTTGCTACTACCAGTTTCAGTGTCTATGTCACAGAGCGGGCCCTAGGAGCGGCCGTGATCTCCCTAGCGCCCCCTACCGTGCCAAGTTAACTGTTTAGCACCCTCTGTCTCGTCCACCACATCTTGCTGTTATATATATATCTTTAAGGGAGGCTGCCTTACTGTTCTCTATGACATGGTGCTTTGTTCGTACTGGCCCATATCCTCTAAGGAGTGACCCTGTGCACCCCAGCCTTATGGGCTACGCATGCCTCCTACCTCCCCTCTAGCACACCCCAAGCCTCGCAGATGTCCCGGACATTGACTGGTCAGTTTGCTCTCCGCGCCCTGACTGGCGCCTCCCGTAGGCACTCTGGCCTTGGACTTGCCACACAACTGGAGCCTCCCGTAGGCGCTCTGGCCTTGTCACTCAACCGGCGTCCTGGCTGTACACTCGCCTGACTGGGTTTCTCCCCAAGTTTGCCCAGCTGGGCTCCCCAACCGGTGTGCCCGTGCTGGGCCTCTCAACAGCTGTGCCCCTGCTGGGCCTCTCCCGGTCCTGCCCTCACTGGGGCTTCACTCGTGCTTCCCGCGCTCGCCCACATTGGGGCGGCTTCTCAATAGCTTTGCCCCTGCTGGGCTTCTCAATAGCTTTGCCCCTGCTGGGCTTCTCACGGTCCTGCCCTCCCTGGGGCTTCACTCGCGCTTCCCGTGCTTGCCCACACTGGGGCCTTCTATGCCCGCGCTTCTTGTGCCCGTCGCCCTCTCTGGGCCTGTCCTGCACTTCTCGCGCCTGTCCTGCGCTTCTCGCGCCCGGGGCTCAGGTGGCCTTTAGCCGTGCCTGGCCCCCTGACCCTTCTCGGGGTCCTATGCCCTAGCGGGCAAAATACCGCCCTCCCGGGCTGGGGTCTTAACACACCACATGCAGCGCCACACCGGCGCCCCACAGCCATGCCTCCCAGGCACTGCTTGCTGTGCCCATACAGGGCACCCAGGAACCCCAGACTCCTGGGGAGCTCCTGTGAGGGCTCCTCACATCCCTACAGCCTCACCCGGTCCTCCGGTGGTAACAATGACCCAAAACCAAGAAACGTAAAGCCATAAGCCAACCGGCTACAACACAAATAAGCCTCCTGGCTGGTCTTACATAAACAAAACCCAAGCTATGAGCCAACTGGCTACAACATACGCTCCACACTGCCCTGGCTACTCCTCATCTCCGTCGGGGTCCTCTCCACTCCACACCATTCTACAGACTATCAGGCGGTAGGGCAACCAGGTTGGTTTACTCTGCTTTGCTCTACAGCAGAGCTGTTACTCCTTTGGCTGCCAGAAGGGACCTGGCTCGGGCCTCAGCCTCTTCTGTTTATATGGGCCAGGCCCAGCCCCCTGGCGATCAGCTGACCCAATCAGTTGCCCTAGCAACTGCCAGCTGTGTTGTCTTGTTGATTGGCAGGTAAGCCCTATTACCAATGTCAGCAGCAGGCACCCTAGTGCCTGCTACAGTCTAGCAAAAAACGTGAAGGAGATGCACCAGGCCTTTCAAATATTCCAGCTGAACTGAGCTTTTGCCTTCTTCACCGCTATCCAAAAAAGTAGTAGTAGTCAAACAAATGTTTACTAAGAGATCTGACTTTTGCTCTTACCCAGTTCATCTGGCAGCAAACCTTTTGGATCATCAACACAGAGGACAACATTTATCAGAAGATAAATTATCTACTGCTCTCGATACAATTATGGAAGTAGCTGAGAATGTCCTCAACATCGATGAATTAGCTATGACAGACATTGCCGAGTACCACGCAAAAGAAAAACTTCGGAGCAAAGACTTCATGCGGCAGGCAGCAGAGAACATGTCTCCTTTCACATGGTGCAAGTGATACTCTAACACCCAACTGTTGTTCAGGATTGCTCTAAGGATCCTAAGCGTTCCACCAACAGCAGCTTCTTGTGAATGGAACTAGAAGGCTTTCAGCTCAATCAAGACAAAAAAGAGGAATAGACTAACATATGAGTGCACTGCTAAATTTGTTTCTATTTCTCAAAATCTCTTGCTTCTGAAGAATCAGTCAGAAGCACAGTTAGTGAAGAAGAGGCAGTGTGATAAGTTGCCCTTGCCAAAAGACTGATTGGTAAAACCATCCTTTAGTGAAAGAGAATGTGGTTCAAGTAGTTCTGAATCAGATTTGCCTCAATCTGATTCTGAAATGGAACTAATAAGTGGTGCAAGTGCTTCTACAGATAGTGACAGTGAAAGTGGAGGTGCCACAATGACCTCAGTGGAAGAGAGTTAAACTCCATTGATGTAGATGAGTGGACAACCACGGCATAACATGCACAGTTCTTTGGATGTACTAAAATTAGTGTGTCAACAGTTTTCAGTGCCTTCATTTTTCTCCTAAATTTAAACAAACAATGTAAGGGAAGTACATGTAATTGTGTACT